ACTTAATGAATATGTATGAAATATAAATAATAATAAAAGATAATTAATACGAATTAAAAATAATAAAAGAAAAAGAATGAATAAAAATAAAAGTAATTAAAAACAATGTGTATTCAAATTAATAATATGATCTATATTTCACATCTAATCTAATTAGTGCAACATTAAGAAGTATTAAATGTAGATCTGTGTTAATTTCTAACATATTATGCAAGAAATGATAAACATAACATGAAAAAGGATAAATATGATACAAAAAATTACAAGGGTATATGAAAATTGTTACAAAGATCTTACTGAGCATCTATATCTGATCAACAATTTATTTCTAAAGAAATAGTTAATAATGGAATTGCTCAATTCTCAACAAGCTCCTGAACTTCTCTCATTGTGATAACAACAAGAAAGAATGACAAGAAAAGACTTTGCATAGACTATTGAAAGCTCAACAGTATTACAAAGAAAGATGTTTATCCTTTATCAAGAATCGATGAAATATTAGATGCTCTTGGAGAAGCAAAATAATTTTTATTAACTGATCTTATCAATATATTCTGGCAAATTAGAATGCACTCTGATAGTATTCAAAAGATTATCTTTATCTCTCATAAAGAATTATTCAAATTCAATCTTATATCTCTTTGATGTATGCAATGGATCTGCTATCTTTTAATGAGCAATAGATAATATGCTTGGAGATTATAACTAGAAATTCACTATAATTTACATTAACAATATTAATATATTCTCATGTATCTTTGAAGAATATTTAAAATATCTCAATCTGATATTTCAACGAATAAGAAAAGCTGAATTAAAACTCAACAAAGCAAAATATAATTTCATTCAAAAAGAATTACTCTTTCTTGGACATGTAATCAACAAAGATGAAGTATGTTAAATTTTAATTGGTTCTTTTTGAGATAGAAATAGATATATAAGCAGCATGTATCTTAGCTTAGAATTATTATCAAAATATGAAATCATCAAGTTCATATGTCTTTTAATATCAAATAAAATTTGGTTGTAACTTATATTATTTTGATCTTTTAATTATGTCATCTTAACAAGAAATTATTATTCATATTTTTATTATTCATATTTTTTTGTATTTATTACTTGCATTATTTATTTATTATTATTATTTATTATTTGCATTATTATTGTTTTTAAGTTTTGAGAGATGTCAAGAAGGAATTATGTTATTTTTATTTTCATGTTGCTGGTCTAAAGAAAGGCAACATTTATATTTATTTTATTATTATATTCATATTTGCATTTTTATATAGCTATCATTGACCAGTACTTCAGAAAAGCTTTGATAATTATCATATTTATTTCGTTAAGTTTCTTGTTAAAAGTTATGTCCAATCCCATTACTTTAATATTTGATATTTAAATTATAAGTTTTGATAGTTCAGTAATCTGACCTTTCAATTGAACACAGTTACTCATCATATTTCAGAAATATCATCATAGGCAATGACTCTGAAAATGGTGACAATATAATAATTTTTAATGCAGTAGTAAAAATAATTTATTATTAAATTAAAATTATACAGTGCGGGTGATCTGCACTGTATATCTACGTATTAGTAAAATTACCAAATTAATATAAAATTAATATCTAAAATTTGGCCACTTAAAATTTTTGGTTGGGACTAAGTTGTACGCACTGTTAACATTCATTTTTACTTGAAAATCAAGCAGGGGCGGGGAAAAAATGCTTCGATGAATTTTGCACTCTTTTGAATAAGAGCGGATTTATTAATAATCGATTTTGCTACCAATTTCACATGACTGAAAAATCGTAACGATCGGGATAGCTCATCGACTTCCTATATTGGAGACATTTCACGGTTTCATGTGCAGTGCTCACATCATTTTTTATGTCTCGCGGATCACTATTAGCGTGAGATCATAGGCAAATCACGAATCGCTGTTGCATTTTGTACACGATTTAAAGTTTGGAAAGTATTAGGAATACGTATCATAATGGCTAACCCACTTTCCATTTCCGAATTGATTGATCTCTGTGCATGCTATAAAGTATGTAGTTTATGGGAAAAAGAAGCGGATCCTTCTGAATTGGAAGGAAGAATTTTTTATCATGAAGAAATTCGGCCAAGACGAAATGCCCTTGATACGACTCGCAAGGATGCTATGTTATCAGATGACTTTGCATTTGATTTTGGAGAAGTCATTTGCCAATACTGACACTAATCATAGGCTGCAAAATCCCTATAAAAAAAGGCAAGCACGTAAAATATACAGAAATCGCAAGGAAGGTACGTAGGCACGTAAAGCGTGACAAATTCCGTATACATAAAAACGTTTCGGGCACGGTTTTGTTGACACGAAATTATCATTCCGTGCGGTTCCGTGTCAAAAAATCGTGCCTGAGGCATGTTTATGTATACGGAATTTGTTGCGCTTTACGTGCCTACGTACCCTTCCTTGCGATTTCTGTATATTTTACGTGCTTGCCTTTTTTCATAGGGAATATGAGCTGAACACACTTTAAATTTATTATTAAAGTTGGTATATTATTAGATAAAGCTTTATCGTTATATTTATATAGATCCACCAACACTAATCCTAATTTGGCCCTCTTCCGGAAAATCGACGGATCCGTTACGTTATACGTAAAACAAAAGATTTATAGCTGGTTCCGAAAAACAATTGGTATATTATCCCTTTTTCAAATACAATCTTGTATACTCTAGATACACATAAATTTTAGAACGAGTATGAATAAATAAATGTATTCTAAAGAGCTGTAGTACTGCAATGCAAAGTATTCGGTTTGTTTTTGTCTTCTTGAAAGGCAATAGACTTGATAAAGTCAACACGTTCCTCAGCAGTTGGTCTGTTTTCTTGAATAGTAAATTTATACAAATATTTATTATGATTTCGTTCACCAAATGGTCGTTCTCCTGTTACAATTTCGTACATCCCCAAAACTGTATCTGCAGCTTTAGTGTATGGCTTTTCATTTAGTACTTCTGGGGCTCCATAAATTCTTATTTAAATTAGCTGGGCCGTTAAGTCCAAACTCGTATCACTAGACCATATTAATATATGTCAGGGTGAAAGCCATGAAGACTCGGTCATCCCTGAGATAAATGGTTTAAATTAATATCTCTTGCATAATCCATTAATTCATTTGTAGCTGGGTTTTAGTTATTTCCTCCTCTTGCAAGATATTCAACATCTTTCAAATGGAGCCCATTGAAAAAAAATCTAGTCTTTTATGAGACTGTGTGTCAATATCTTGTTTTCACTAGACCATTTAGCTTTATAAAATTGAGTGATATTGACAACGAGTACATTTACTATATAACAAAATTTAAAATGCTTATAGAATTACTGCCTATAGTACCTCTTTCACATAGTATTATAGAAAGTCAAGCCACGAATCTGCGTGGTGTAATCCAAAAAGTGGCTTTGCTTTGAAGATGTTTAATTTCGAATATTTTTTTCAGAACTGTCTCCAATAAACAAAAGGTGTATCATATAAAATATTTATTCAATCAAATATTGTGATCAGTCATACGAAAGAAGTGTACACGTGCGCTCATCTTACATTATTATTATTATTACTATCATCTAAATACTGCTGGAAAAATTCTAACTACTATTTATTCGACCACAAACTAATAAAAACCTTCTATCGATAAAAAATAAGGTTATTACTTATTGCGCATACTATAATAATGTTCATTAATTCATTAAAGTAGCGCGCCACTGTAAATGGAGAAATGAAGTAGTTGAATGTATGTGTAAAAAACAACGCTAATTATAATCAGTAAGAATATTTACAAATTAAAAAGAAAAAAGGTGGAAAATATTAATGAAATATAAAAATGTACTTTTGTAGGTATAATATATTAACGAAAACTATATAAACATTATATCATCATCATCATCATGATATTGTTTGTGCAATATAATCTGTAATAATAGATGATAATATCATCAGCATATGATCGTAAGCTCATTATACCATTGGATTATTTTTGATAATAATACCGTGTATATAGGAAAGGAAAGAGAGATAACAAAGAAGAGGGAGAAAGAAAAATTATACAAGAAAATGTTTGTTATATATTTCTACATATATGGGTAGAGGGAAGGGAAGTAAATAAGGGTGTTTTTTAGCAATATAAGATTAAACAATAAAAAATGACAGACAGCACTTTAGCATCCAATAGGTAGACATTATTGTCATATCGAGGGTGATTATGGTGATTGTTTTACATGGGTAGCCGAGTTTCGGCGATCTTGTTGTCGTCCTCCTTGGCGACCTGCATTATTCATGCCATTTTGGTTTTGATAAGAGTTTCTCTGATTATATCCGCCCTGGTTACGATTATCAGAAATATTTCGCTGGCCGATAGGTTTGCGCCGGGCTTCAGTGATTACATACGAGTTTCCAATTGTTACCTGATGAGCAGCTAGGGCTCGGTTGCAAGCATCAGCTGTAGTGTATTCTGCGAAGGCACAGCTCTGAAATATAGACAAACATTAAATATTATATAATGTTTAAATGAAGAATAATGTTTTATGTTTTCTCTGCTTACCTTCGGGTAAACAACATCCAGGTTTTTAAGTGCTCCGAACTGTGAGAATGCATTTCTTAGTTGATCGTATGGCATAGATTCGGTCACATTTTTGATGTAGATTGACAATTGAGGATCTATAAAATGAAGATATTATCATATAATAAATAATATGAATAAAGACAAAAATAAAACAGAAAGACATTTACCTCCTCTTTGACCGTCCTGACGTCGGTTCATTTGGTCGCGACCAGATTGTCCCATGGATTGTTGTTGTGGTTTGGAAGTTTGAACTGGCGCAGATGCGACGTGAGCAGGAATTGGAGCAAGTTGATTACTCCATTTGTCGCGATTATTCGCGGCCAAATGTGCCCAAGTCTTTTTTTGAGGAGCATTCGCTTCATTACCAGTGGACGGTTGTTGTGTAGAACCAGCTGCCTTTTGAGATTGTTCACTAGAGTGCTGTTGCTGGTTTGAGGAAGTATCATTGCTATTATTATTATTATTATTATTGTAATGATGACCAGTATGTTGGCCTCCGTGATGATTATGAACATTGTGAGCATTATGAGCATTATGAGCATTATTTGCTTGAGTGACAGCTGGTTGAACAGGTGCAGTTTGAGGAACGTTACTGACGGCTGTGGTGGCTGATGGAGTATTAGCAATTTGTGGTACTTGTTTTTGATTACCATTAATATTGTTATTCTTGGGCGGCGGGCTCATTTGCACGGTTTTAGGAGACTTGTTGGCCAATGCTTGAGTTTGAGGTTGATCTGTAACAGCCTGGCTAGAAGCAGTTTGTTGAGGAATGTTTTTTGAGGAGGTAGGATTTGCAGGTGCTCCCTGATTTTTAGGTGAGACGGAGCGATCAACAATATATGGTTGAGGCTCATTCACTGGAGCCTGCTCAACTGCTTTGGAAGGCGAGACTGATACTGTTTCAGGAGCTGGCTCCTCAGCAGCTGGATGCTCATTTTGTTGTTGAACCTCAGCAGCAGTATTCTCTTGAAGCTGAATGTTACGATGTACATGAGAATTTTCATTGATCGGTTCATCTACTAAAGTGCCGGTGGGTGAATTTGATTCTTCGCCCAACGGTTTCTCCTCAGGAAGAACCACGTTATTGTTCTCCTCGGTTGTCTCCTCCTCGACGGGCAACGGGGTATCCTCAACCGGCGGTTCGCGTGTTTCATCTTCTACTTCGTCCGCAAGGAATCGCAAAATATCATTCAGGACAAAGAACCCGTTTGGCTGCACGGCGAGGAAGAACGTCTGTGCGAACTTGCGAGATTCTTCACCCTTGTTCGCCATTTGTCCTAACACTTGGATTACAATCCCACCATTTAATGAGGCTTGGCTGTCGACATTTGTAACTAGTACAGTTGTATCGTTTAAACCAAACTCCATTATCTTGTTATTAATTTCCTATTTATAGATTATGTGAGTGGGAAAATCGATTCAGTAAAGATAAGTTTAGTTGATGATTTTACATTAGAAAGAAGTATTCTAATGATGTATAGCGAGAACCAAATGATTCACCGATCCTAAAGAAGTGTAAGGCATTTATTTACAAGAATAGAGAAATTCACATTCTATTTCTCAGCACTCCCATAATAAAAGGCAAATTTCTCATTTGAATCATTTGAATATTAGTGAATATTAGCGGATCAAAGGAAAGAAGCCGCACACAATAACCAGATATATACTAGATACTTGATAATTCGATAACTCATATAATAGGTAGCAAAGAGTTTTTTCAATTGATTGGCGCAGCAAGTCGATTATTTCCAATCAAAAAACAACTTTTTGCTTACATCACCATTGCATAGTCCACTAAATTGTCAAAGCACATCTCTCTATCCACCATACACAACTTCAAAGGTAATTACCTGTGGTCCGTGACAAGTCTTCACCGTTTCACCTTCTTTGCCAGTTGTATAGATTGAATTTACATTATAGAAACAGTGTAACCTGTGCGGCTCCTTATGCATGAACGTATAATACTCTTGCACGAACAACCACCCAATTTCTGTGGTGTCAATGTGATGATCTGGTTGTTGTGAGGGTAATTCTTGCGCAACAGACGCAGCATTATTTGTAATGTCATCAGTTGTGGTTGTGGTCATTCTTGGTGAAGCCATTATTAATTTTTATTTATTGTTGGTAATATATCTATCTTAGAGGAGGTAGTAAACGTTTTTAAAAAAGGAAAGAAAGAAAGTACGTATATGAGAGGTATGAAGTGAGGATATTAGGTAAAAAAAAAGAAATATATTAGCACAATATTTTGTTAGGTGTGGTTGGACCGGTGCTGCTGGATAAACAAGATAAACGAGAAAGAAAAGGTTTGTGTACATCGTCTTTTTATTATAGGTAATAATAATGATGATAATAATGATTATCTGCTTTTTTTTCCTAGTTGCGGATTATTATTAGTCATGCTCTTTACGACAGTGGCTAATCGACAATATATCATCATGGTAAATTTGCCTACCGCAGAAGTTTAGGTTAGGCATATGTTTCAAGACTACGTAGGTATCAATTTATTCAAAATTGTTATCGTTTTATTTACTTATTTATACATATTTAGCCCAGTAAAAACCTAATATTATAATTAAATAAAAAATAGCGATAGGTAAATTAAAATAGTTGTGCATATAAATGTCGTCGGTAAGTGGCATTAACGCTTGAATATATTGATTTTTTGAATTAGTAAGGGTTGAGGTATTAATTAGGTACGTTGGTAATGATGATAAAATAATTTTGGCCAAATCATTCTCTACCTATTACTACCTACCGATCACCCAACCTCCAACAATAAAGAATTCTTATCCCCCACGAGGCACACACACACATACCCTCACACACTTTATATACATATATCTATATACATCAATACTTACAAATATATTTTGAAAGACTTTTACCTTTTAGAATATAAATTACAAAAAAAATAAAAATGGCTTTATCTTTTTTGAGTTGATGAAGACTCCCGAAAATAGTGAAATGTGGGTTGCGAAATGGATAGAGTTTTGATTTCATGAGTGATGAGAGGATAGATTAAAAAAACCCTAGAAAAGAAAAAGGGTATATATATCGTGTTGGGAAAAATTACACTAATTTTTACTATATTACAAAAAAACAAAGTCCTTGCATAGAAGAAAAGTTTATAAAACAAAAAAAAAGCAGCTAAAAAAAAAATAATAAAAAATCAAAAAAAATAAAATACTTGTGTTTTGTAGATAAAATACATATTTGATGTTAATTGCTTTTTTTTGGTGTTAAGTTTGTGATGAGGATTAATTAGTATTATCGCCTAACCACTGAATCAATTTTTCACGAAGACGAGCAATTTCAGCGGTTTCGTGAGACAATCACTCCCGAGTACCTTGAACAGCTGAGGCAGTCAATCCCATTGAACGAATTTCACGTGATGCGTCAAAACCAGACATTGGCTGTAAATAGATTTTTACCGTGTTTTTGGCGTTGTTTCCCTCTTGCTGAGAAGCTTCCCAGCTTTTATTAGATTCACAGCTTCGAGGCCGTTTGTAGCCGATAAAGATTGAGTTTTGAAAGTTTGTATTGAATAACCTGAAAATCTAATCATTATTAATATTACTCATCAAATAAAAAGATGAATTAAAATAAAAATAAATACCTTCAAATTGATAGGATTATCCTCGACACAAAAAAACACATTTGTTGGAGACACAACACGTGTTCTCGACTTGGTATTTTTAGGTTCACTCTCTTCATGACTCTCACTTGACGCCGACCTTTTATTCGGTGATCGTTTAACATCAGGACTTTATTTTCAGTCGATAATACAATGTCACCAGTGGATACAGTTCTATCTAATTGAGCAGACCTTCATGTTTTGTTGATCGTTGTTGTCGATATTATTATTAAGAATATTTTTTTCTTTAGTGGTAGTGGAGGTGGTGAACAATCCAATAGACGCTGCTTAATAGGCTTGCAAAGAGCTGCGACGTGACCTCTAATACGGTGTATCATTTCTTTGCCAAGTGCTCGACCAACACCAGACCAAATACCATTAGACCAATAGAGATGTTATCTTTCCACCGCAAGTTGTTGGAATTCTTTGGTGGTTTTCAACCTTTTCGGAATTTTCGGTGGTTACATTGAAGAATATCACATCACATTGTGTAGTTTTTTCGCAGCGGCTAATGCTTGATCGCAATCATCAAAAGTATCTACTCGTTCAACGCTCGCGTTTTAACATTGCTGTAACAGCTGATCGTGCTGTTTCAACTGGTTCCACAATAAAAACACGTTTTCGATTGCACATGTGCAGGTGTTACGAACGCTGCTTGTTGCACACTCGCTCCAACATCGGATACATTGATTTGAGGTGGTGATGTCAACGGGGCTGCTCCCAGAGAGGTTCGACATTCCAGGTGAACCAGAATCGACTGCCTTTGTGCATCTCACTTTGTACGCCAAAATCACCGTCGTTAATTGTCACTAAATGCTTACAAATGGAGACCTAAACCGGTACTATCTTGACGTCTGGTAATTGAAGGATTTCCTTGCGAGAAACTCTCCCAGATATCTTTCACGAATGCTGGATCAATGCTATTAGAGTAATAATGATATCTGTGTCTCTAATAGAGAAAATAACTTACCCGATGCCAGTATCGGTCAATTCTATGTATCTGGCCCCCATTTTCATTCACATGATACGTATCCGAAGAAGCCAATGAAATTTTCATCATTTCTCCCGACTCGGTAAACTTTACGGAATTCGACGACAAATTCATTAAAACCTGTTGCAATCTTTCCGGATCCGATTTTATATATTTTGACAATTCAGTCGGCTCAAAAAGTACAGTCAACTCTATAACGAACTGATGGTTCTGTTAGTAAAAAAAAGTTCGTTATATAAAATCACTATGTTTTCTATAGAGCTAGCTCAGTGCTCTTTCTATAATGAACTAATATAAAATTTAAAAATTTAAGGTTCGTTATATCCAGAGTTCGTTATAAAGAGGTTCGTTATAGAGAGAATCAACTGTAATATTAATTTAATTTGCTTGGTACCCGCGCGTTCTCCAAAAATTTCTATAGTTTTCTCAACAAAATCGAAAAGATCAAATGTACGATTCATTAAGGTGATTTTTTGGGCTTCAAGTTTCACCGCGTCTAGAATATCGTTGATTATGAAAGTACGATGTAAGAGGCACGAGTCATAATGTGGACCATGTCTTTTTGATCAGCGGTGAGTAGCGTATCTTCGAATGCTGAGAAGACACCCGATAATTGCACCCAATGCCGTGCACAATTCCATTTATAAGTGAATGAATATGTTAAGAGCTTAGATATGATCAAATAAAAATTGTATATTTACCATGAAAGTATTTGCCAAAATTGACTTTTTGCTTCATTAGCCGCTTTAGCTGCCTCCATTTGTGCTTCCCGTTTCATTTTCTCTTCGGAGGGCTTAGCATGAGTAATCGCCAAACTAATCTGTTGCAAAAACATTGTTCTTCGATGGGCGATAATCCAGCCCCAAGAGTTTAAGCGAATTGCAAGTGACATCGAGAAAAACAGGTTGATTAACAACTTGCGAGAAGCAATTATTGTGACACTCAATCTCCAAGTCCAAATAATTGCTATCACTATCTGTATCTAGGATTGGTACTAACTTTTTATAAATTGAAGGCTCGGTATTTATGGTCGCAGAATTTTGCGGATTATGTAACGAGCAAATTTATTTGCGGAAGTAGCAGTCGGTGGTAATATATCCAACGAGTCTTGATTATCATCAATTGCTCAACATGGTACTTGTGTCCCAACCAACAATTGAAAGCTCGTGACGATGCAGATGCGGTCATGATTTTTCCAACTCCTTTATTCATCGGGTCACTATAAAGCACCAATAACGAATCACAGGGAAGAATGCGATGAATTTCCTTGACGGCGGTCGAAAGAATTTCTTGAATATTAAGTCCAGATCGAATTTTACTGCTGATCGAGAATAAGAGTTGTTTTGACTCGGTTGTTGTAAGACCAGCTCATGACGTAATTTCGAGAGTTGGATGTTTACGCGGACACGTGCGAATAATTCTCGAGCATTGAATGGTTTGGTTAAGTAATCGTCTGCTCTTTTTTCTAAACCTTTATTATTTTTCATATATTCGTTAGTGTCATTAATTGAAGGCGCATTAATTGATTGGCATAGTTGCAATAAAAATAATGCTTAACCCACCTTCACTGCTCTTCTCCTCGCTAGCACGTGCCGACAATAAAATCACCGGGATAAATTGCGTAGTCGGATTAGATCTAAGAGCAATAACTCTAATCCATTCATATTTGGCATCATTATATATACCTATTTTTTATTTTATTTTAAAAGATAATACTATATATATCACAGAATGTAATTCGAATAATTCAACACATACCGCTTAACACAAGATCCGGCTGTATCTTTTTATTTTGAGTGCATCAAGGTTATCGGTTGCACATAGAGTTTTAAGAGGTATTTTCTAATAAATACCGATGATAATTAGCCATTAATATTCCATAAATTTACCAGGAAAAAATAAAAAATTCAGTTTCTACCTTATATCAGCATTATCATCAACAAGAAGAATAAGAGCTATTTTATCCGAATCAGTAGCACGCTTTTCAGATAAAAAAAAATGGAGATGTACGAGATGTAGTTTTAGCTTCCACAATAGGGCGACGCAATATTCAACGACTGCAAAGACTTGATTGTCATTTGTTCATAGGAAATCGGGTAATTCTCTTAATGAATGTCCATCCACAAACTTCATTTCATCGACTCCATCACCAATAGTTTGTGTGTCCAGATTCTGATCAAATGTGGTGGCAGTCAGACGCGCAGAATGTGTTCGACCATATTCTGTGTTATTGTTCTCTCAGATACAAAAGTGTGTATGGAGTTGAGGTGATTAGGTGACAGGCACCTTCTACGGATTTTGCGCCTAATGATTTTTTGATTGTTGGGATTATTAGATGATAGCAATGATGATGAAATTATTATTAGGTTTAAGTATATTATTACCAAGAGTACGATTCCCCAACTCGCCCTAAGTTTTTAATCGTCGAGCCGCAATAAAACGTAATGTCGTCTCCTGAACACAAGTAAGCACAGCACCGATTGTTCCATCATCTTTGAACATTGGGCTAAAGGAGAATGAAAAGTATGTTTCTTCCTCGTATCCGTCTCGATTCAGGTAGTATAATATATTCTCATCGAAAAGACTTTTTTCATCGCACAAACACTGTTGTTTAGTTGTTTTTTTGTATATTGAAAAAAAATAGAATGAAATTAAATGTAATGTAATGGAATGGAATGGAATGAGATGAGATTGGAATCAGTTAAAGAAACTGATCGTAAATGAATCAACACTAACGTTCTAAGTGTACGTTCTGTGTCTTCCCTTTACTTCTAATACCGGTTTACCTAAAGCTATTTAGTAATCTTATGCATCTTTTTATCACGTGATTTTTTTTGAGAAAGCACAATTACTAACCCTCATCTTTAAAACTGGCCGCTACACTATATTATTAGTATGATCAAAAAAACGCGTTTCTCTGTTAATGTTTGTGGTAATTGACACGGAACACCTACAGGAAAAAAACGCGCTTACTTTGATTATAGACGAGTATAAATTCCGGGCCGTAGTATATTGGCATTGGAATGCAGCGTAAATCCTATGATAATAATAAAATTAGAAATAATGTGAAAGACTAAATTCTAGACCCATCTGGCCTCTAGAAAGATGCCTCAACCATTTAGCCATGTTGTAACATAGTTGCGGCACCATCTACTCTTGATGCTGAAACTTCAATATATCCGATTTTATAATAAATTCTCGTTTTACTAATAATCACCGACCACATCGTTATATCGAAGTTAGCTGTATTTAGACTTTCTTTTATAAATTCCCTTATAAAGCACAATGAATAATATTTTTTCACATTCTTTTTATTCACTTTCACCACACATGGCAAATCTGATTCCTTAAACTCCTCGATCTGGACAACAAGCAATACAAAATAATAAAAATCTGACTGACTCAAATTACCACATTGCCCTTAACGAAGCAGGCCATGTCTATAGCACCAAGAGGAGTAGATGACCAGTCGAACGAGTAGACCAAATCGACTACAGGCGTTTCATCCTCAGAGATTCACGATATCATCTACTATTTTAGGCGACGATGGCGATAATGATGAAACAACAAAGCAGTTGTTTTTGAGTGCGCGCGCGTTATCAATATTTTTTTGCGCGTTTTTTGATGATGGTGATGGCGATGATGCTGATAACGATTGATGACATTTGGTTATATTAATAATATTAAAAAAAGCTTAATTAGTACTATAGTTTGTATCACTTATATATAAAATTAAATAATATACAGCTATAAATATAGAAATTCAAGTAACCTCTCGTACACCAAAGACGCATTATTTCTGATCGTTTAGAGAATGATAATTGATGATGACGAATGGCGAAAATTATTCAAAGTGAGAATGAATTAACATTTAATTGATTCTCTTATGAATCGATTTAAGCAAAAATTTTCCATTTTATGTGTATAAATAGGTGTGCATGTATATGCACGCATTTCTCGCGTTAACTAAAAGTAAAGAATAATAAAATTATGAACAAAAAAACGGGTCTAAAAATAAACTTGTGTCCTTACTTTTTTCCTTTAAGGACGATATATAACTCGCCCAAAGGACAATAAAGACATTAATGATGGATAATTAAAACAAAAACTGGCCTTTCACACACATGTATGTCCAACCACTCCACTCACCAACTTCAACTTCTACACCAAAGCCACGCTTGGACAAACATATTTGCATTAGTCAAATGAATGTCTCGCCAAAAAATATTAAAAATACACACTCAGTGGACAAAAGTTTGCAATCAGGGGTCAATTTTATTAATAAAACATAGTAAAAATTGAGATTTTCTCTTTATAATTTTATTAAGAAATAATTATAGTTAACATATATTTTTTCAGATATTTTAGTTTTTTTCTGAAGTTGTTCTAATGGCAAAGTCATTGCAAAAATTTTTTCTAATTAAATTTTTTTTAATTGAAAAAAAATTTTTGCAACTTAATATAAAGAGAAAAGTATTATAAAATAATAAACGCGCGTATAATAAATAAAAAATATCAATATTTTTTTGTTATCGTTATTATGTTATACACCATGTTTGGTAAGTCCATTTTATTTTTTTTTAGATAACTATTCACAAAAGTCGCTTTATATTTTTTAGATAGCTAATAAAGTTTATAATAGCATAAATACTACATGTAATATAAATAACTATATTATAATACCACCATGATTCTACCACCCCCAAACTTAACCGTAGCTTTTGTCACCTGAAAATTACTGTCATCTGACCAAATTATTTTTCGTAGGTCCAGTTTCGGGGCTTTTCCGTGAATTCAAGTCGGCTTTTAGGTATGGCTTTTTTTGTTTGGCAAACAGTAGGAACTGAAACTTGAACATTTTCTATTTCTTGCAGACGATTTCAAACTTGAACGGAGGTGTAAAAAACATACATTCAAAATGCAAGCAAATCTGGTCGTCCATCTCTTTTAACAGACCGACTAGAACGACAAGCAATTCGTCTTATTACCCCCCGTGACTGTTCTACCATCTTTTGTTAATGCGGGTCACCATGGAATGACTAATTGTTCGTTGGTAGGCAACTTCTCTTGTATTAGCTCCATTTTGAGTTGTTTGTTGTTTTTAGTCATTTTTTTTTTATTTTTGGGGACGCGATATATACTAATAAACCCCAATTACAAGAAAAAAGGCTCCGTGAACTTTTACGATGATCGTTTAATTACGATTGTTATTAAGCATATGCAATTTAACTTCAAAGTGTTGCATTATCACTGTATATACATGTATGCCCCCCATTTGTGCTATATACTATTTTTTCTCATATAAGTCTACCAAAGTAGTGATTTATAAAGAGGAATTCACTCCAAAGCGCAATTATTTCACTTTAAATCCTATTCAAAGAAATGACATCACACAATAAATAAAACTTGAATACTTCAAAGTATCTGGAATATTTCGCATTTTATTTCTGAAGAAAATCAATAATTTTTATAATTTTATTGATTAACTGATATATTTTATTAAATTCTAAAAAATTCATAACTTTTATAATTTTTTTATCAATTAATACATTTTATTATATTTTCTAAAGAAAATTGGTAATTTTTTAATTATATTTCATTATATTTTTTAATTTATTTCTAAAAAAAAAGTTGATAATTTTTATAATTTCAATTTATTAATTAGTATATTTTATTATATTTTTCGATTTATTTCTGAAAAAATTAGTAATATTTATTTTTAAATTTGGATAATTTTCTTTTTATTAACACATAAATATAAAATATTTTTATTTTGTTCTTTTTCTTAATAAGATTAATATATTTTTATTGTTTTTATTTATTGATTAATATATTTATTAAATTTTCTGATTTATTTTTGAATAAATAATTTTAAATCTGAATATATTCTAATATAGTAACTAATAAAATTATGAAATTACATATATAATTTTATTAATAAAATATAATAAAAATTGAAATTGTTATTTTATAAAAGTTTTAATTTTATTAATAAATATTTTTTATTTTTATATCAAAACAAAGATTATAAATTATAATTTAACATATTCTTACTGTTAGTAATCTTTACAAATAAAGATCTTTATTATATAGTAAACAGTAATGTTCCTATAAACTGAACTGAATCAGACTTTTGCCTGGATTTGAGTTCAGTTCAAAATTTGAACTGAACTCGAACCAAATTTTGGCTTGTGTTCAAGAAAGGTTTGAAGTTCGAACTGAACTCAAATCAGACTTTCATTAGAGTTTGAGTAAGATTAGATGTTTGAACCAGACTTTCATTTAAGTTCGAGTATGTTCGATGTTTGAACTGAACTCAAACTGGACTTTTATTTATGTTCAAGTAAGATTCGATATTTGAATCAAACTTCATTCGAGTACAATGTTTGAATTGAACATGAACCAGCAGACTTTTAGGTGAGTTCATGAAAATTCACATCAGATCTTTGAATTAACTTATAATTTCTAAGTTCTATCAGCCTTTTTTAGCTGAATTAAAAATTAAGTTAACTTTGCAGTTTCTAGTAATTAATATATAATTTAAATTTAAAATTATTTATAATGTACAAAAGTATAACATACCAAAATTTATTTTTTTTCAGAAGTATAAATTATTTAGAAAATATGAAAAAATATAATATAATATTTTATTTTATTTATGAAATTATCTTTCAAATTAAAATTATACTATATTTCACAAATCGATATATCCTTCTTTCTCATATTATTCATTCTTGTTATCATTTCACACATTTTTAGCTTCACTTTCTTTTTCATCATCTTCATCTGTAATCTCACTTTCCTTACTTTCAATCACACTTTTCTCTTTATTGAACTCATCCTCCACTTTTGTTGTCTCACCTTCCACTTCTGCTACCTCATCCTCCTTATTATCAATTATATCTTTTCTAATAGCTTCTCCACTCTTCTTATTTGCTACCTCATTCTTCTTTTCATTAATAGTTTTTTTTTGTTTTTCTGCTTTTAAAAAAGACGCAAGCACTTTGGATTGCTCTCTGAACTGTTTTAAACAAATTTTCTTTTGTTTTTTTGATTCTTTATTTCTCTTTCACTTATCAGCTACTGTCACAATTTTTGTTGCCAGATTCTGTAACCAGACAGCTTGGTAACCAGTCAAAAAACCAACAGTGGTTCCATGTTTGTCTTGCTTAGAAAAGCATCACAAAGTATTTGCATTCAATTTAATCAAAATATCATACTCTAAAAAAAAATTTTCCTCTATAAATTCTCCTTCTATATATTTATCTTTTTCATTTTGAATTCCTCTTGTACACACAGATCCAGACATATTTCAAAAAGTTTTTGTCTGTGTGAACTAAGGTTGCTTGCCGAAATCTCTTAGTGACTGTCTAAATTCTGTCAAAATTATAATAAACTATTAGTAAATAACCCGTCAAAATTCTGACGAATTTTGAAACCCGTCGTAACTGAAATTATGTTGAAATTCTAATTAATAATTAGTGTGTAACCTGTCGAAATTA